GTGTCAGCCAACACTGGGAATGAGATCCAAGTTTTCCAGTCTAATTACTCAATGATTTTTTCCACTTCTTAAAACTTACGCAACATAATTTTCAGGTTGAGAAATTCTACTTCAAATCCTCTGCTGAGATTCTTTCATGGTCAGCTCCTGACTTGGAAAGCATTGAGCAACTACATGGCGGTCGGAGTCATATCATGAACAAGAAACCAGTTGTTTGAGAGCAATGCAAGTATCATCCTGCATCTTTCTGCCACAAGCCAATTGCAAGCAGCATCTTGCTGGATCACTAAAATGTCAGGAGAGGGTTACAAAACAATGTGAAATCACTGAGAGGTAAAATGAATGGAAGTGGTTGAAGTTCTCCTGGTGGGAGCTGAGAAGTCCACATTTTACACATTGATAATAAATTCTGCTTAAAAAGATAATGTTGAAGATGATCCACAATTCAATGAGGATGTGCTATTAAACTGATATACTCCTCATGCTTTCTGTTTGAAGATTCCAGTACTCTGGACTGTAAGATTTGTATTTTTGTTTTCATCATGTTTTCCATTTACACTGAAACTTAGTTGTCTAAAATGAAGCTTTATTGGTATATTACCCATTTACTTCACGTTACGTCCTACCATAATCAAGTAAGAAAAATCTCCATACTTTTTCATACATACTTGAATAATGCACATTCTGAAATGGTGCATCTATAGTTCAGAATTTAGCATGTTAAGTAGGACTGTCAAAAATACTTCATTTTTCATTTACGAACCAGCTTTAATGTTACGATTTGCCCAAGGCTCTTCACAGAAGTGAAGGAGCAATCTGATACTGAGCCAATTTGTAATCCTGAGGGACAAGAGCTCTATTTGTTAAAAAAAAACTGGTGTGAACAACTAGAAAGTTAAAGGGCAACATAAAATGAAAAAAATACGAGATTGTAAGGAAAAGAAATTCACTCAAACCAGTAAATGGGAGAGTTACAAAAAAAGCAAAGGGTTACAAAGCAGATAGCATGAGCTACAAAAAGGGACTATGAAAGTAAAATTGTATTAGATGCTAAAATCAATATAAAACTCTTTGACAATTTACAGGGTAGCTGACAGCAACGTGAGCTATTTAAAAACTTGTGATAATATAAATCTAAATGCATAAAAGGAGGACATGTAAGATTATTTTTCATCAGTATTACAGTGGAGGATATGGAGAGCGCTGTGGACTTTCCAAGGAAACCATTACCAAATCAGGAATTGGGGGAGCTCACCAAAATTAACATCAGGAAATTAACAAAGGTGAAGAAATTATGTTACTAAAAAGTGACAAATACCCAAGATCAGATGGTTTTCAACTAAGGTTTAAAAGAAGTAGGAAAGAGTTTGCAGATACCCTAGTTACGGACTTACAAGCTTTTAAATAAGAAATGATTTCTATCAATTGAAAATTGTACAAGTTACACTACTGGTTTAAAGAGGTGAGAAAAGGAAATCAAAGAATTATAGACCTTTTTGGTTATTAGCTTCTGTCACCAAATTACAAGGTTTTAAAACAGGTGTGGAGAGATTGAACATTTTCAGCTGATTGGAGAGAGCCAGAATTGATCTGTAAAGGGTATATCATGCTTAAGAAGCCTGATTAAATTTATGCAGTGATAAATAATGTAGTAAACAAATGAATATCAATGATTTTTTTAATGTCGATTACGAAGACATGTCATAAGGTATCTCATAGGATTCATTTGTTAAATTTAAAACTGATGAAGTTGGAGAAAAGGAGTTGATCTACCTGTACATAGGAGAGTGGCTGAGTGGCAGGAGGCAGAGTGTAGCAATGATGGGCAAGTACTCTAATTGATAGGATGGCATCAGTAAGCGCACAACAGGAGCCTCAACTGCTTGCTATTTAGTAATGACTTAGGTGCAGGGATAGATAGTCATATGTCCATGTTATTCACAAGGATAGTTGTCAATGTTACCAATATAGTTGGAAGAACAACATTAAAAACTGATAGTAATAGATTAAATGAATAAAACTGTGGCAACTGGATTTCAATATTGGTAATTGTGAGATCATTCACTTTGCACATATGAAGGTTAGAACAGAGTGTTTTCTAAATGGTGAGAAGTAGGAAACAGTGGACGTTTAAAGAGACTTACTAGTCCATGTACATAGATCATTGAATGTCATGGATGTATACTTACATATATACAAAGGTCAATTGAATGCTGGCCTTTGCACCTCGAAGATAAGAATACAAGCAGTTAAAGTCATGCTCCTGAATTCCCCAGTTAGGTTATACCTAATGTAATGTATTCGGTTCTGGACGGATCTTAAGAAGGATATTGTGGCCTTGGAGGAAGTGCAACATAGAGGTACTAAAATGCCGTAACTCCAGACACAGAAGAGGAACAGTTGTGCATACACATTTGGCACTCGCTCTGTCTGCTGACATTTGCACGGTTTCTCCCACTGTTAACATTATAGCTCTATGCCTGCTGTCCACATCACGTTTTCTCCTCCTGTCCCGATGCTGGCCTGCTTATTGCCTTTTTGCCAAGCCCTCACAACCCCACTTACTGTCTTGCTTGAGATGAGTTGAAGGCAGTAGGAGTCCAGGAAAAGGGCATCGGTGGGAGGCCATGAGGTCTCAGCAGAGGGGCAGCGAGCATGAGGCAGCGAGGTATCAAGTGGGGCAGGGAGAATAATGCTCTTTACTAGTGGAGTTTATTCTGTATCATCTTTACACAGATTGCTGGCTTGTGATGTCACTAAAAGTAACATTGTACACATCGTAATAAGAGATATGGGCAAAGATAGATTTATGGAATTAGGTCACAGATCAACCATGATCTCACTGAATGGCAGAAAAGAAACTAAATGGTTAATTTCTGCTCCTGTATTCCTGTAAAATAACTAGACATCAATTCAAAGAAGAAGATATTAGATGAGGTAACTGGTAATGTGGTAGAAAACTGAGTAATGAGGACATTCTTAAAGGTCAAAATGAATGCTGATTCAGAAAGACTTCGAGTAAAAATTCCAAGTAATGTGACCTATTTCACTTATTAGAGACACGGAAACTAGCATCATCTGAGATGTATAATATATATCAGGTAGCAAAATAGCTCCATAGGCCTGAACAGTGCTCTAAGCTGTTCAGTAGCCATACGCATGGTCAAGGTGAGTGACGAGCATCGATTTAATTAAATAGCTGCCTTCACCCACCTATCAACAATCTTGAGCAACCACAACTCATATCCCATATTCACAGTTTCAAGTCATCCTCATGCACTTTGCTCTGCGGCAAGCTTCACATCTGCATTTCAGTTTGTACACACTGCGAATCAACCGGGCCTCAAGTGGCTCGAACCAACACTCCCTGTCGCAATGTCTTCTCCCTTGTAAGATGTAGTGTTGTACAATTCAGGTATCAGCAGCTAATTGGTGAGGGAATTGCACCATGGTGGGCATTATTGGAGTGGCCACGATTGAAGCTATGGCCAGCAGCTGGACTGAAACCATCAAAGATGACAATATCCTTCCTCCCCACTTGCTCCTCCCCTTTAACCCACAATTTCCTTTGATTTGCAAACTGCAGAGCGTAAGAATGAGCTCTGAAGAAGTCATATCAGACTCGAAATATTAACTCTCCCCAGATGCTGCCAGAACTGCTGATGTTCTCCAGCACTTCCTGAGTTTTTTTAAATTTCAGATTTCCAGCATCTGCAGTATTTTGCTTTTATTCATGTAAAAGTGCACAATATTCCCGCCTCCCGCCTCCCCCACCCCCGCTCCCTGACCAGACCCCTATCCCTGTGCTGTTCTCCTGGGACATACCCAGGGACAACAAGCTGGCCAATCAGCAGGGCAGGAGCTTACAATTTAACCCCTTAAGCAATATCATCATTCTGCTGGATCTCAGCTGTACATTGTTTCTCAGTCCAACAACCCTTTCCTGATGTTGAGCGTCCAAGCTGTTTACAGGGTTTGACCAAGCTCTGTACAATGTAGCCATTGTTTGCATACTTTAACATTCAGACCCTATGAGGGGGCAAGGCCAACATTCTCATCTCTGTCTCTGCCACACTGAGAATAATTCCTCTTTGTAAAAAAAAGATTCAAAATCATATAGGGAGAACATTTCCATAAGATACGGAGGAGGAGGAGTGCTGTGAAGGATTGCAGAAAATAACAAATCAAACAAGTAACATTTACCTCTTCTGTCAACATCTCGGAAACAGGAGAGATAGTAGGAACTGC